CTTGCTTTTATTTGGAAAATTAATTTTGCAAGTTGTAATATTATAACATCAAGGTAGATTAGTTATGCATGAAACGGAAACGTAATCGTTTTTACAAGTTGTATCGTATCAAACCCAATAACATATTCGTTTTAACGAGTTCTATCAAAACTAAAAACTTATTTTAACGACTTGTACTCTATGCAATTAAAGTTATACAGGTCCAAATGGGTCCAAGAACCAGAAAACCCGGACCTGGACCCAAACCCGGACACGGACACGAACACGACTCATCTGGTCCGGTCCACGGTCAACAATATTCTCCATAACCGGTCCGGTCTAAGAGCCGGTCCGATCCAGTCCGATCCGGTTCGGTCCAAATGCTCACCTTTAGACTATATCCCTCTCGTCTCTCTCAACTTACAGTTTCATTTAGATGTCATATCATTTTTTTTTTCTATTCTTTCATTTTCATCTCTACCAACCAAGTGAACCAACAACATATGAAAATTCGTCTCTTTCAACCGTTTCAACCCCTACAATTAAGTTTTTTAAATAAACATTTACTAAAAATAAATAAATAAAACCAAAAACAAAAATAACATTTCATTAAAAAAGTTAAACTACTAGAAATGTTAATTAAAAGCATAAAATGACAGTTAAACTACTACAACTATTTCTATCCACTAACATTATGACACGTGGCATCATTCCACAATTCAATTTAATTTTATATAATATATTCCTAATATAGTCTTAATGAGATAGTTAAGTAAATATGGAATGATATAATGTGTTATAATGTTAGTGTGTAGGAATATTTATAGACATAAAAAGTAGGAGGCAATTTAATTTCTCTAAAAATATTTCTAGTCAGTTGTCCTTAAAACTAGGTTATTTATTTATTTTTTATTTTGAACGATTCTTTCCTTGAAAAATCCATCTTCTTCGTGAATCAAGGATCTATGTGATGTAATAGAATTCACTGAAATTATGGAAACTAAAACTTTTAATTCATGTCCGTCAGAAACTTAGTCAAGCATTATGATTGTATTTTTTTTTTTAATTAAACTGTTTCATTTGTAATTACATAGGATGTCTAGTGAATTAGCCAGGATTTCCCGTGAATTAGCCATACGCTAACTGTTTCAATGATTATGTGTGATTATTCTTAGCTTAAAAATACATGAAAACTGATGTTTTAGGTGATGGTTGCAAGTTTTTGTTTATATGGTTATGAATTCTTTAAATAAAAATGTACCATTTTTTTTGTTTTATAAATTATGTTGTTCGGTATATATATGTTATAAATACAGGGGGAATTATTATGTCTTGTGGCCAAAGGCCTTAATTACCTATGGACCGAGCCTGTTAACAATGACCATCATGCCCATGTTCCACCCAATTTAATCCAACGGCTCGATATTTTGTTCTCGTAAAATTTGTATTCTAAAATATCACACAATAAAATCTTTAAATAAAATAAGAAGATTAACCAAATAACCACGCAATGAGAACTTTAAATATAATAAAAACATCACCCAAATAACCAATCCAAACTTTATGATTAAAGAAGAAATAAAATATGCATGGCTGAGATTTAAAATGACAGTTTTTTAACTTGAAGAAAATATTTATAGAAAAATAACCGTTTAATTGGTTTTCATAAGGTATATTGGTTAAAGAGATAGTTACGTCATCATCACTACTCAATGTAAATATGTTACTTGTTACAAATATTTTTTGCGTAAAAACAAACATATTATGTTAGAGTTTAAATAATAGTAGCTAAAGGATATAGAACAGAGACATGTAACCAATTTTATTTTCAGTGTTTTATGTTAGAAACAAACTTCGGTTCCAAAAACTTTAGCTTGTGTTTTGTGTAGGGAGTTAGTTCCTTGTCATGAAGCTGTAATTTCTTGCAAGTAATGTAAGGTTATACCATCTAAATCTTAAACTAATTTCTCTATATAAATTTTGTATAAGTGTTGAAGATTAATTAGACCCATGAAGCGTAGGATTTCCCCAACCTTCAAGCTTTATATTGCCAGCCTATAATGTTACAATTTGCTCGGGATTGGTTGAGTTAATTTTCCTTGCTAAAAATAAAGTTATGATAGAAGAACACTAGCTAGATTTGCATTTCTGATAAGCATCAACTAGTTATCTCCTAACTAAAGATCTATTACATCATTATTCATCATTCAACGATTTATACATTATTTATATTTCGAGACATCATGTTGCGAGTGAAGGTTTTTGTTATTTCTTCTAGTATTCACATAAAAATAGATCTTTCAAGGAACACCTACCACTACAAGGATATGACGACACTTATGCCGACGACAATTGTCGTCGCTAAAAGTACCCCTATCCCGACGACATGTCGTCGCCATATCTTTTGCGAACTTTGACCAATTTAATTTGACCAGGACCTCTATTCCGACAAGTCGTCGGCAAAAGTCTGCAGGGAACGACAAAATTATAGGCGGTCTTCTGAAATTCTATACCGACGACATGTCGTCGGTATAGGTATCAAAAAATATATTTTCCATTTATTTTTAATATATATGCGAGAAAAACAAAACGATGTAGTTTTGTGTATGCTATACCGACGATCAGTCGTCGGCATGACACGTGGCGATCCGCATCCCAGGTCTATCCCGTCGACATGTCGTCGCCATAGGGTTTTAATTTTTAATTTTTTTGTTTCAGCAAATAATTGAAACGACATCGTTTATTTGACCCTATACCGACGACATGTCGTCGGCATAGGGGTTTACCCTAAAGAATGGCACATCCCTCGTTCATTTGCACAACGACGCAACCATCTCTTTCTCTCCGACGAAAATCCAATTCCAACGTCAACTAACCGGTGATTAGCTCCAGGTAAACCTTTTCTACTCCTATTTCGTTGAATATTGATGTGTGCTAATGATTTTTACCCCGAATTTGGGGTTTTTTTTGGTGTGTAGGGTAGTTAACCGGTGGTGAAGCACCACCGCCCGTTTTCCTGCCTCAACCTTCCCACCGGCGAGTTGTTCGCCGGCGACCTCGTTCCAGCCACCAAGGGAGTTGTTCACCGGTTCGTTTTCTACCCCTATTTCGTTCATATTGTTTTTTTTTTTTCTGATTTTGTATTGCCGCCTGTGGCCACCACCAACCACCACCGGAGGATTACCAGCTTCTTTGACTAGCCAGAATTCGTTCATCACACAAGAACAAAACACAGGTTAGTTTTTTTTTTCTAATTTTTATTGAAATTGAAATTATATGTATATATAGAATTGTGTTGAAATTGAAATTGATTCTCCTTTGATTATATAATTGTGTTGTTTGTTTGGTATATATATGTGATTGTGTTGTTGTTTGTTTAGGTTTATACTTTAAACAAACTATTAAAAGTACATTGGTATAGAATTGTTTTGCTTGGTTGGTATATGTGTGATGTGTTGTTTGTTTGTTATATGTGTGATTGTTGTTTTTTTGTTTGGAATATGTATATTGTTGTTTAGGTTGGTATGAAATTTTGTATGATTGTTTAGGTTGGTATGAAATTGATATTGTTTAGGTTGGTATATGAAATTGAAATTGTTTAGGTTGGTATGAAATTTTATGTATAAAATGTAAAATATGTATGGTTGTGTTTAATTTGTTTAGTTATTAATAGCAACATACTTTTTTTTATCTTGATAATTGAGATTTTTGGAATATGTTTATTGAGATTAAAGTTTATTAAGTCAAAAATATTTAAACTATAAAAGTTATTAATAGCAACATACTCTTTTTTATCTTGTTAATTAAAGTATTTTATTTTCATTTCTATTTGAAAGTTATAACATAAAACAAAATAATAAAATTACGTTGTTATTAAAAGTAATATTAAAAGTATTTTTTATCTTGTTTATGGTGCTATAAAAAAAACAAAAAAAAAAACAAAATAATATTAAAAGTACAATGCTGTAATTGAAAAAAATAAAATGTATATATACTATAAATATGAAAGAGAAGTGAAAAATAGAATGTTTTAAACAAACTAATAAAAGTACATTGCTATAAAATGTGTTTAGAAGTCTACCCTTGTGAATACTCTATCAATTCCGTCCGATTTCTACTTCCAGGGTATATATTTCTTTATATACTTGTCAATATCTATCCATTCCGTCCGTTTTTTTTCTCAAACAAAAAGTCATACAATTTAACTATGTATACAATGTTATTTTTAATAATGAAACAGTAATGACAGTCGATAAGAGTTGGATTCGTGAAAACCGAATGTCCCCAAAATTCTTGGAAGGTCTTAAAACTTTATGGAGATTGCCAGGAAACATGTTGACTCTGAAGACAAAGTGCGTTGTCCGTGCGTAAAGTGTGTGAATATATATCGACACTTGTTGGAAGGTCTTATATATTTTGAATGTTTATAATATTTGTTAAATTTTCAAATGTTGCTTATTTATAATTAGCTTTATTATATATTTTGAATGTTTATAATATTTGTTAAACAGATGGCAGAAGTCGCGAGGGGACATGGAGGAGACGGTGGGGGATAGACCACCACACGGGGTCGCACGCGGTGTATACCGACGACACTATAGCGACGACTTGTCATCGTAATAGACAAATTCTGTGGCGACGACTTTGCCGACGATATGTCGTCGCTATAGGTAATTAATAAAACTTTATCTTTTATCCACGAAAATATGATTGACAAGAACCTATCCCGACGACTTGTTGTCGCCATAGGTGAAGCTATCGCGACGACATCTATACCGACGACACTATTGACCTATGCCGACACGACTACGCCGATGACTCTATCCCGACGACATGTCGTTGGCATACCCTATCCCGACGACATGTCGTCGGGATAGAGTCCGAATTCGTCGTCGCCATAGGGTGTTAATGTTGTAGTGTACGTTTCTTGTTTAATAAAAAACCAACATAACATTTTTTTTTTTGATATCTTGCGACCTATTATAATTACTATTCGTAAAGAACGCAGTTTTAATATATTTTCAATTAACAAATTCAGTTATGTCATCACCATGTTTTATATTCCCATATTTAGCCTTGTAGTTCTTCCATAGTGTATCCAAGGGCTTTCCTGTCAACTCTTGAAAAAACTTGACGTCAAAAGTTTTCCTCATCTTTTTGTTTAGCTTTGCCACAAACCCTGGGGTAATCCCATCACAATACTCGAGAAAACGAGCTGTGAAATCATACCCCTGGTCCCATTTATTACCAGTTCCTGGTTTTGCAAAAGCGGGTGGGAAATAATTTGCTTTTAAAATCGTATAGTCTGCCACCCCTTCTACCAAGCCTGTAGGAGCTTTACCCTCGCCATTCCCATTGAAAAACATGAGTCATTTCATGGTACAAAAGGGACGTGAATTCCCATTTCAGGTTCCCTTGATACCCTAGTAGATAAACGGCACTAACATTAATATTATCACCCCAAGTGATTGCTTCGGCTCCTTTGAAGTCTACGATATAAATGTTCACAGTCGGCACAGGCTTTCGGTCAGCAGGGTCGCTTTGTTGCAAGATGGTGGTCCATATGTAGTTGTTAATGGTACCCATTAGTGTCTTTGTGAAGGGAATTCCGATTTCTTTGGTGAAACGGATTCCGCCAGGCGTTTTCTCAGCAAAGTTAGTTACTTGGTAGTTCACGGCGGATGTTCCATAAAAAGATAATGACAAGGTAAGGAGGGTACAAAGGAAAAAGTAATAGTGAGCCATGGATCATCTATGCACTCGAGGTTCAGGTAATATATACGACACATGTATCATATATATATAAGTGTTATGTTGGTTACAAATCAATTTACCAACAACTAAGATCCTAATCAAATTTTAAGCCATTCATTTGTTGTCTTTTTTACCATTGTATTAATATTGTGGACTGAATACACAATTCACTTTTGACAGTGAAATGTAGGGATATTATTCAATAAGAACCTTTTCAATTCAAATGACTTGCCTAACTTTAGAAGACGTGATAGTACCAAACATATGAAAAAAGAGAAGTGTTCTTGCAGCATTTTTTCAATAATTAATTCAGTGATTTTTTGAAATTTAGCAATTAACCCATTAGGGTGCATGGACTATATCCCTCTCGTCTTTTTCAACTTACTGTTTCATTTAGATGTCATATCAGTTTTTTTTCTATTCTTTCATTTTCATCACTACAAGAAATGTGAGCATTAGTGGCGACATGAATCGCCGCTGAAGAGTACATTTGTCGCCGCTAAAGCTATATGCGGTGACTTGTCGCCGCTAAAGGGTCACTGTTGTTACTTCGTCCCAGTTGCTACTTTTGTCGCCGCAAATACTACACGTTGCCGCTAATATTACGTGCCGCCGCTAATGCACTGTCGCCGCTAGTACGTGAGTGTCGCCGCTAAAACATTTTAGGTTTTTTTAAAGTGACATTATAAAAACTGCTATAACATACATACGAACGACTACAAAACATAATTTTGCTGAAATATTAGTCCATACACAAACGGTCCAAATATACACCCAAACCAAATATTCATCGAACAATATATCCAAAATATTAACTCAAACAAAACATTTCATAAAATCCTAAAAAAGTAGCTACTTGTCCTCATCACTCTCATCATTTCCTTCGTTATCATTTCGTGGCAGCAATAAGCGAAACCAGGTGCCGCAGAACAGGTTGGGTCCTTTAGTATTGTTTGCAGCATTTCCAACTACAAAGAAAGCGAAATATATTACCAACATATCATAATAGCATTGTACTTTCCAAAAATTACCAAGATAAATAATACCAACATATCATTATAGCATTCTACTTTCCAAATACACTTAAACATACATCATGCACAATATATACATTATAGCATCATACTTTCCAAAAACTTACCAATCTACAAAATACCAAAATATTAAACTATAACCAAACTACATGATACACAATATTGCATATACATTATAGCATTGTACTTTTTTCCATTATAGCATTGTACTTTCCAAAAAGTTACCAAACTACATGATACACAATATTCCCTATTCATTATAACATTATACTTTTTTTTTTCATTTTTCCATTATAGCATTGTACTTTCTAAAAATTAGCAAAATACAAAATATCAACATATCAAACCATAACAAACATATCATTATAGCATTCTACTTTCCATTGTAGCATTGTACTATATACTAAACAAACAATTACCAACATACCATTATAGCATTATACTTCTCAACTTAAACTAACAATTACATGTGATTGTGGTGGTTGTTGTGTCATCGGTTGTTCCTGATCGTACATAGACACAACCGTAGGAGGTTTACCCCCAATGCCTCTGATATGTCTGCGTCGAACACCCAATATTTTTTCAAAATAATTTTTTATTTCACTTGGTGTTAGACATCTTGATTCAGAAAAAGATTGGGTTTGTTGATTAATCTCTTGGACTAAAGCCAACTGTATTTTTAAAAAAAGATAAACAACATAAAAATTAGATTACTAAATACTCGTTGACTATATAAAAACTTATATGAAAAATACAAATTAACCACTTACATATTGTTGCTCGACTGCACGACTACTAAATACCCATTGACGATTGGTATTAGCCTTACGAAACGCTTCAACTCGAGTGTTATCCTATTTAACATTAAAAATTAGATTAATTATACTTTTAAATGAACAGTTGAATATATCATAACCTACTTCTTTGAAACAGGCATTGCTATAAGAGGTCGAACCCCCTCTATTTACAACTTGTTGTTTTGCACGGACTTCTTTGTTTGACGTCGAACACCTTAAAAATTCAGGCGTTTGAAAATGTTCGACTGCCTTCGCTGAATTTTCACGTGACATACCATCAGGGGGGGTTGTTTAATGCCATTGGGATATTTGCAGGCCCCCTGATATCTATAAAATAAGTATGGGCTTTACTTTTCCGCCCTCTATAAATTTTTGCAAAACTCACATCAATGCTCCACAACAACTAAGCATGTTTGGGATCAAAGTTAACCTTATCCAAATCAAACTTATTCTACAACTACAAAAAAGTTAGTTAATTAAATACCAATCACAACTAAACTTAAAATATTAACAAAGTTAGCTTTAGATGAACGACAGTTGCATTCCTTAACGCGGAGGAAACATTGTCCCAACCAGATACGTTGAAAGGTATGTTCATCCATGTATACCTTCCAATCTCACGTGAAAACCAATTAGCATGCTTCCCAACAGGGGAATATGTGATCTCCTGTCAAAATCCAAATCCACGGGCTTTCCTTTGTTTGCCCGTATCAACTTTCCTAGCTTAATGTTTTTAGATAAACCCCTTCTTTTCTTTAAAAGCTCAGCGAAAAAAAAAACAATTAAAAATATTAGTCATGATAATTTATAATAAATTAAAAAAAAGTAGTTAATAAATATATCATAATAAGACTTACCATCCTGTTCGTGATGTCCGCGACCAAATCCTACCGGAGGTGGTGGATCCCTGGCTCCATCACCTCTGTGTCCAAGGCCCATAACATCGGCCATCATGGTAAAGAGTATCAGCCAACTAAGCATCATATGTAGCCTGTAAAATTACAAGATATACAATATAGAAACACAATATGAATAAAAAATAGACAAACATGAGTAAAAGTTAGACAAACAACATGAATAAAAGTTAGACAAACAATATGAATAAAAGGTACACTTCAAATAAAGTTTCTATTACAAAAAAAAAACATTTGATTTCTTTAATCAGAATCTTCATCATATACTTCAATGTCTTCTTCATCAATATCATAATCATAATCGTCATCATCATAATCAGTCTCTTCCTCGGAAACATTATCGATTCTACCCGTTGGCAGAGGTACTTCAGTCTCGTCCTCATCGTCATAATCAACATTGTTTTGAAAGTATTGTGAGAAGTCGTTACAAAAAGTTTAGCTCCAGATGAAGAGTTATTTTGAATTATGTCAACATTTTCGGCCTCCACATTGTCGACATCTTGGACAGAGTCACTGTAAGCATTTTGGACACGAGCATTTTTGGATGGTAGATTCCAAATACTTCAATGATTAACATGCTCGACGACACAATGAGGGTTGTTGTTTTGGTTTCTTCGATGATTAACAGGCTCGTGGATGTAGAACACTTGTTTAGCTTCCAAAGCATATATGAGTTGATCATCTTGGTACGCTTCTTTTTCTGCGTTAATACTGATGAAATTATCATCAGGATTATCTCCCGTATCGAACCACTTGCACCAAAATATTACAAACGAATAATTATATGGATATTTCACCTCTATAATATCTTCTAATTGGCCATAATATATCTCTCCATTCCTACCAACCACTAGAACCCCAGAGTTTTGTGTTTTGTGTTGTGCATCACGACTAAATACCATAAACCTGATACCATTGACTATGCACGCAGTGTAAGTATAAACATCCATTTGTGAACCCATTGAAAGGGCTGACAACTCTTTGTGGAATTCTGAAGAGTTTTCTTTTTCCATCTGAAAAACCTATTAAACATATGTTGATGTGTTATGTATTCTTGATTTGATATATTTATCAACCATATTTGTTTATTAATTATTATTACATTTTCAAGAAACCAGTTGGGAAATTCAGTCTTTTCGTAACTTTCAGGATGTTCATATTTGAATTTTCTATATTTATGACAAAAACACACACATACACACACGTATATATATATATATATATATATATATATATATATATATATTAATTGATGAATGAAAAAAAGTAACAATAAATAATGAAAAATAATTAAAAATAAGAACACTTACTCGATGTATTGTCTGACTTCTTGACAGCTATTCAATATAAATGTAACATACACGTTAATAACCTTGTTCGATTATCATGTTTTGTAAAGTTTATTAGCTTAAAATGAGTAATATTATATGTTTTTGAGCGTTGAGTTCTAACAAGATAGTTTTTATGAGATTTGAAGTATACTATGTTTAGAATCACTCGAAATGTATTGGAAGTCTTATGAAATTCCGATCAAAAGTCAACTATCGAAATTACGAAAATATAAAGTTTGAAATAAATAAAAATAATGTTACTGAAAGTTGTAGATTATCTCGTTAGAAGCATTTATGCGAAAACCTCATCGAAATCCGAGTTATAACGAAGAAGTTATGACCAATCGAAGATCCGCGACAAAACCGGCAAAACACTATTTAGCGTAAAAAGTGAGTTTTCAATAAACTACTTTTTAGCTTTAGTGATCTAAATGAAAGTCGTAGTATTCGTTAAACCGAGAACTTTCATAAAAAGAACGTCAAAATCTGACTTCGTATGAGGAAGTTATGATTTTTCTAAGATTCGGTATAACAATTTACAACTAAAAACTTGAAATAAAGATCGAATGATTTTTAGCCGACACAACCTAAATGAGAATCGAAGGTTTCGTCAATAGTATTTCAGCGGTAAAAAGACAGACGAAAACGGACATCAGATGAAGAAGTTATGAATTTTTAACGGATTTTCCTGTCCCGGTCTGTTAAAAATAATAATATTAAAAATAAAGCTAAAATTAGCCAACGAAGTCTAAACGAAAGTTGTTGAGTATAATCTCACCTACGCGTGGATATAAAGAACGTCGAAAACGTAGCTCATATGCGAAAGTTATGAATTTTTGAAGATTTGGGCACAAAATCCGAGAAGCTTCGCATACTAGGCTCGGACTCGGCCACGTACAAGCCTCGCATGCGTGA